AAGGAAGGAAGGAAGGAAGGAAGGCAGAGCCAAAGTGTGTGCCTTTGTTGGGTGGCAGAAAGAGGAAAAGTTAATTGGATAGATTCTTTCTTTATATCCTACAACTTAGAGCAGGTAGAATCTTCAAGAGAAAAATACTTCTGCTTGTCCCCAGGGTCCTTTTCCCATGTGTGTGTTCTGGAAATTTCCTAAGCTCGAGGGCATGTTTCATATCAGCCACTGTTTGGAAGCAGCTGGCCTCCCTGTTTCCACGTGGAGATGATTTTCAAAGAAAATGCTTTTCCCTCTTAGCCTCTCCTCTGTGAAGAGAGATATTTCTGGAAGACCTGGGAGTAGGGTGTTTTTCAGCCTTAAAGGGGATCTTAGTTCACACAGGTCTGGAGGTTGGGGGAAGTGCATAGGCTTCGTTGAGCATGGGTGCTGGGAGGGGTGTGCCTGGGTGTCAGTTATCTGGGCCAAATGGGCTAGAGACAACATGGACCTTTGCCGTATAGGCCGCCTGGTGGAAGGTGAGCTTGCTGTGACTGAACTTGCTGTGACTGGCTCCCGAATGTGCCCATTTGTCATGGCAGTGGCCACATTCTCTGCAAGAAGCCATGGCAGTTATTTGAGGATGAATTGACTAACTGACTCCTTTCTCGAACTCCAGGAGGGGCCGTCGGGGGCCTGCTAGGGGCCTGGATAACGAGTGGCCAGTTTAAGCCAGTTCCTCAGATCCTAATGGAGCTACCCCCTGCCGAACAACAGAAACTCTTTAACAAAGCGACCTCCATCATCAGGAACCTGGACTGGACAGACGCCGTGCAGCTGACTGCGCTGGTCATGGGCAGTGACGCCCTGCAGCAGAAACTCCTGGGCATGTTAGTGACCTACATCACCAGTGAGCTTCGGGCTGAGATCCGCTATGATGACTAGGCTGCTCCCCCTGAGGAGTGGGGCTTTCATTTAAGTGATTCTGTGACTCAGAAGGTTACTGGAGAATAGGGGATGCCTGGCAGATCCCCCTGAAAAGCCTGCACACAACCCCACTGACTTGAAGTGGGAGTGGAGCATCCTGCTGGCACGTCCTACTGGAGTGTCCTGTGGGAGCAGCTCCAACCATGCTGAGTGGTGACCCAGCAGTCATTTAAGGCAAGTGTCTTGGGCTGTGTGTGCTGCTGTGCACTGGCAGCCGTTTACTGTGTGCTGACAGAGGCTCCGGCCACCCCAGCTTCCCAAGTTCCCCCATCAAGTGGATTAGAGGAAGTCCCCGTTTTATAATGATGGCTGACTACCCTGGATGCTCCCCCACCCCCTGAAAATGGTGCCTCCCTCAGGTCCCTGTTGCAGGACTGGACCCCTTTAGGCTCTAGGGTCTTAGGATTCAGAGCCAGCTCTACTGAGGGTGCCCCTTCCCTGTTCAGGGTCCTCCCAGTCATCTCATAAAGACAGTGGTTGGTCCTGAGTGAAACCACAGATGACTGGCAGGCTCCCCTCTTCCACTGGCTGCACCCCCAGGCCGTCTTGAGTAACTTTGTTTAAGTTTCTAGGGTCTTCTTCCCACATATGAAAAATGATGGAATTTCTCTAGTTTTTACTTTTATTGCCAATTCTGCTATTTGTTCTCTACACATAGGTAGCCTAAGTTAATCTCACTCAAAAAAAAAATTTTTTTTTTTTCTCACTGTGTTGCCCTGCCTGGCCTTGAACTTCTGGCCTTAGTGATCTTGCTACACAGCTGGGACTGCGGGCTTGTGCCACGGTTCCCAGCTTTACCTCAGAGACCACCTCTCCTCTCCACGGCCCTTTGTTTCCAGTTCTTTCACTTTCATGGTCTCCATCCCAGCTCTGTTCCCTCTGTGCGCTGACCATAGTCTGTACGGCATTCATATGAAAAGACAAAATCAACAACAACTTTGGTTTCAAGATCTTAAGTGAGCTGCGGTGACATAGTCCCAGCTAGTTGGAAGGCCAAAGCAGGAACATCCTTGAGCCCAGGGACTCGAGATTCAGCAGCACAGGGAAAGCCAGGGAAGGCTAGGTGTAGGAGAACCATCTCAGTTGGCTTTGCAATCACAGAATCAAGGTGTAGTGGATCTTCTGACAAGCACAGCAGAGGAGGAAGACCCAGGAGGCCAAGGAAAGCAGAACAGAAAGTGCTTTGTTTCAGACTTCCTTCTCTGCCAGGTTTAGCAAGAGGGAACCCCCTTCTCACCCTGGCTGAAACTGGCTTGTTGGGGGTTTGGCTAGCTCTCCCCAGTTTCCCTACAAGAGCAGGAGTGGCTCAGATTTGACAGGTCACTTGTTTGGCATTTTCCTTGTGCTGTGTGTGGACGGAACCCAAGGCCCTGCAGGGGCCGGGCAAATACCCTCCACTGAGCCCCAGCCCTGATCCTCACTGCTCTACCGCTGAGCCCCGCCCCAGCTCTTGAGTGGCTCGAATTTTGTCCCAGCCCTTGAGTGACTTGATTTTTATTTGACCAGTTGGTCCTAGTGCCGAGCTCATCCAAACCAATATTCTCATAGAGGTTTGACTGAACATCTGCTGCTTCCTTTTGTCCGGTTTGTACTGGAAATGCGCACTCACGGAGGACAGGAGCTGGTCTTGGCCATCACTCCTGTCTCCAGCCTTGTACCCTGCCCTCTATGAGGTGACTACTCAATATATAGATTAGTTTTTGGCTCTTTGAAACAGGGTTTCTCTGTGTAGCCCTGGATGTATTTGAACTCTTAATCTTCCTGCTGCAGCCTCTTGGGCACTGAAATTACAGGTGTGTATTGCCATGTTAAGTTCAATAAACAGATTTTTTTAAAAAGGGTTTATGTTGTTTTATATTTTTGAGAACAGGCTTTCATGTAGTCCAGGCTGGCCTCCAACTTCCTATGTAGCCAGAGATGACCTTGAACTCCTGCTCCTCCTGTCTGTACCTCCCAAGGACTGGGATCACAGAGGTGTACTGCTGTGCCAAACTTCTGTAAATATTTTTATTTCATTTTTTAATTTTTATGTGTATGCTTGTATTGCCTGCATGTAGGTAAGTGCACCCATATCGTGCAATGCCCGAGGTTAGGCTGTCAGATCCCCTGGGACTGGAGTTACAGACAGTTGTTAGCTGCCATGTGGGTGCTGGGACTCGAACCCAGGTCTTCTACAAGAACAGCCAGTATTCTTAACTGCTGAGCCGTCTCTCTAGCCTCATGTACATATTTTGGAAACACTGTTTTAAAAGCACTTACTGAGGAACTTTTTCAGGAAGTAAACATGCTCCCTCACTGTGTAGCAAAGGAAACTGAAAGTCAAGTTTCCAGCCTCTTAAAGCCGCTGAGCTGGGAAGTGAAGAAGCCAGGATCTGGACGCCGTCTCTGGAACCCGAGCCCCTCACTAGATACTGTGCAGGTGTTTCCTAGTTTTCAGGAAAATGGAGCATTTTTTTTTTTTTTTAAAGTTGGTCTCCCTGTGGACCCCAGCTGGTCCTGATCACTTTGTAGACCAGGCTGGCCCTGAATTTACAGAGCTCCTCTTGCCTCTGCCTCCTGCGTGCTGGGATTAAAGCCTCATCACACCTGGCCATGCAACCTGGTAGCTTTGCCCCATGTTTTCCAAATGACATATTAATAGTAACAGGTGTGCCGTCTCCAAACTAGGGATCTCCAACGACAGACAGCAGTTTCCGCCCTAAAACAGCCCCCCCCCCTCTTTGTTTTCAGAACCACAATCTGTGTGGTCAAATTACAATAATTTTTTTTCCTGAAAATTTATTTTGTCATGTATTTTAAGAGAAAGGCGGGTTGCAGGAGCTAGAGAGATGGCTCAGCAATTAGGAGCACTGGCTGCTCTTGCAGAGGACCTGGGTTCAATTTCCAGCACCCAAGTGATGGCTAATAACTGTCTGTAACTCCAGTTCCAGGTGATCCAAAACCTTCTGGCCTCTGTCAGCATTGCACGTGTAGGTACACACATACGTACAGGCAGACCACTTCCACACATAAAAGTTTAAAATTTTTTAAAAATTAAGAAAAGGAAAGCTGCTAGGTTTGGTGTTTGGGGGAAGGTGGACGCTTCCCTGGTCCAGCTTTGGCCCTGTGCTGCCAGCCGCTCATCCTGCCCCAGCCTCCTCCAGCCCTGGGTGCCCAGTCACTGACTATTTCTGCCCTGCTTAGTTGAGTGGACGGGGACTAGGCAGGGCTGGGGTGCTGTCTCTGAAGACTACAGTGCTTCTAGTTGAACCAGCCCTTTCTGTTCTTTCTGCTAAACAGTCAGTGCCCCTTAAGCTGTCTTGAACTAATGCTCTAAACCCAGGCCCTTCGTTCCCCCCAATTTCTACAGCTTTATTGGGTACCAGAGTTGCCCTCTTTCAATGTGAAAGTGAAAATATTTTTTATTTATTTTTATTTTGTTTTCATTTTTATTTTATGTGTATCAGTGTACTGCCTGCATGTCTGCAAGTCCACCTGTGCTGTGCAGTGCCTAAGGAAACTGTCACAGGTGCACTTACATTCAGGCAAAACACTCCTACTTACAAAAATAAATTTTTTTAAAATTAAGGACATTTCTTGATTTTTTTTTTAATGTGTCTGAATGTTTTTCCTGCACGTATGTAAGTACACCATTTGCATACAATGCCCTTGGAGGCCAGAAGAGGCAGTAGATCCTCTGGAACTGGAGTTAAAAACAGCCATTGGCTGCTCTGTGGGTGCTGGGAACCACACTTAGGTCTTCTCCAAGAGCAGCCACTGGTCTTAACTGCTGGCCCATCTCTACAATTCAAGATTTATTTATTTGGTCATGGCATTTTTAATAAATATTTTACTTGTTTTTATTTTGTGTGTGTGAATGTATTGCCTGCATGTATATAAGTGCACCATGCAATGCCTTCGGAGGTCAGAAGAAGGCATTGGATTCCCCTGGAACTCGAGTTACAGACAATTGTTAGCTGCCATATGGTTGTTGGGAATTGAACCCGGCTCCCCTGCCAGACCCAGTGCTCTTTAACTGCTGAGCCATCTCTCCAGCCCCCTGGTCATGGCATCTTATCACAGCATCAGAGAAGTAACTAATACAGTAGGATGGGAGAAACTCAATCCTCTATCTGATCAGGGACTAATGTCCAGAATATATAAAGAGCTCTCACATGCCAATAAAAAGACAGCATAATTTAAAATAGGTAGTGAGCACTGGAGAAGATGCTCAGTACCATCAGTCATTAAAACCACAATGAAACTCAACTTTTCCCCTACTGGGATGGAGAAAATAAACCTAGAAGTGTCAACATGGCTGGAAGTAACTGGAACCTTCCTTCAATGGCAGAGGGAATATAAACTGGCTTGGCCACTTTGGGAAACTGTTTGACAACACAGACTTGCCACTTGATGCAACAGTTTCACCCTCAGGTCTGTACTCAAGATCACTGAAAACACATGTCCACACGGAAACTTGCTCACAAATATCCATTAGCCTTGTAGCTCATGTAGCAAAAACCTGGAAAAAACTACAAGTCCAACAGATGGATGGAAACAAGATGTGTTGTGTAACTCACAAAGGGCTCTTCACTATAAATAGGAACAAAATACTGATGCTAATGAACCTTGAAAGACTGATATAGACGGAGAGCACCTAGTCACAAGAGGTGGCATGCTGTGTGATTCCATGCATGTGAAAGCCAAAATAGGCAGTTCCATGGAGGCAGAAGTAGATTCATGGCAGTCCAGGTGTATCAGTTACTTTCCTGTTGCTGTGATAAAACAGCCTGACCAAGGCCACTTATAGAAGGAAGTTTCCAGGGCTTATGGTTCCAAAGGGTTAAGAGACCATCATGACAGGGCAGGCCCAGCAGCAGGTGGCTGCAGCAGGGAGCTGAGAGCTCACATCTTCAAGTAAGCATGGGAAACAGTGAACAGGAAGTGGGATGAGGCTGTCAACTCTCAGAGCCCGCCCCCAGTGACATACTTCCTCCACAATGCCATACCTCCTAAACTCTACAAACAGTGCCCTTAACTGGGGACCAAGTGTTCAAATACAGGAACCTATGGGAGACATTTCTCATTCAAAACACCAGAGAAGGCAAGGGAGGGAGGGAAAGTGCTTGCTCAGAGGTATGGAAGTTTTTTCCTAGGGGTTGATGAAAATGTCCTGAAGTTACATAGTAGTAATAGGGCAGTTCTTAAAACCAATGATTTACATATTTTCTTATATTTTATTTATTATTTTTATTTTATTGTATGCGGGTATTGCCTGTATGTAGGTAAGTGCACCCGTGTCGTGCAATGCCTACGGAAGACAGAAGAGGCTGTCAGATCCCCTGGAACTGGAGTTAGGGACAGTTGTTAGCTACCACATCAGTGCTGGTATTCAAGCCCAGGTCTTCTGCAAGAACAGGCAGTTTTTAAGCGCTGAGCCATTTCTCCAGCCCCTGAATTACATATTTTTAAAGAAGGCGTGTGCTATGTCTTGGAGCTACTGGCCCATGATATTTGACCGCTTGGTCCCCAGTAAGGAAGCTGTTTGGGGAGATTGTGGCATCTTTGGGATATGGGTGGGAGGAGCTATCAGAAGTCAGTCACTAGGGGTTAGTCATGAAGGTTACACTGCCTCTGCTTCCTGTCATCATCTCTGTTTCCTGGTTGGGGTTATGTGAAGAACTTCCCCCTGCACACACGTTAGAGCCCCCTACACACAGAACAGAGCCCCCTGCACACAGGAAAGAGCCCCTGCACATAGGACAGAGTTCCTGTATACAGGACAGACCTGCACACAGGACAGAGCCCTCTATACACAGGACAGAGCCCCTGCACACAGGACAGAGCCCATGCACACAGGATAGAGTCCATGCTCCCAGGACAGAGGCCCTATACACAGGACAGAGCCCATGCTCCCAGGACAGAGGCCCTATACACAACACAGAGCCTCCTGCACACTGCACAGAGACCATGCACACAGGACAGAGCCCATGCACACAGGGCAGAGCCCATGCACACAGGGCAGAGCCCCTGTACCAAGAGAGGCCCCTACACATGAGACAGAGCCCATGCAGAAAGGACAGAGCCCCTGAACACTGGACAGAGCCCCTGCACACAGGACAGGGCCCATGCACACTGGACGGAGCTCCTATACACTGAACAGAGCCTGAGCACATTGGACAGAATCCTGAACTCTGGATAGAGGCCATGCACACAGTGGATCAAACTAAATCTTCCCTCTCTGAAGTTGTTTCTGTTGTACACTTTTATAGCCCAGCATCAAGCAAAGTGGATTTCATGAGGTATGAATTACATCTCAATAAGGCTATTAAAAAACAACCCCGCCCCGCCTTGGTCCTTCTCCTCTCCAGTCACTCACTGCCCTCCATCTCTCCTTCCCCTTGCAATAGGACCTCCTCAAGGGAGTTTCTGGGCTCACTGTCCCCAGCCTGTCTGTTCCTGTCATGTTAGTCCGTAGCCATCTGCCCCAACACCCCATGTCTGGTGTCCATGGTACTAAGCCTGGGCTTGGTCCTTGGTTTCACATCACTTGGTCTGTGGGCAGCATGGGCACAGCTGATGGCATGATCCTCACTGGGCCTCCAGGCATCACACATCTTGCTTTTCCTCCTCCTCCTCTGCTGTTTCATGCTCCAAATCCTGACTGTAAATCCTCCCTGCCCCAGGCTTGCTTCTTGGAGCCCTTCTCTTTTCTCTCTCCACCTACTCCTTAGGAACATTACTAATCAACCCTAAAACCAGCTGGAATACGAAATATCTATTTTTCTTGAAGGCTTGTCCACTCCTTAGATTAGATATGGGAGAACAGTTCAGTGAACAAGAGAAAGAAGGAAGAAATTACTGCTGGCAAGTTTTAAGAAACCAATGTTCAAAATCAAACATGCCTTCAGAGGACTGAAAGCAACACAAAACCAAACTGAATGTGGGATCCAGAATACTTTCAAAGCAAACAAACAAAATAGATACCTTAAAACAAACACTTTGAAAGCAAACTCAAACCAGAGAACGCTATTTAACAAGTAAGATCCTTAAACATCAGCTCAGAATAAGCAAACGAACCATTGACCAAATGAAGGGAAGTTCCAGAGACCCTAGAAAGAACTCCCACGGTCCCCCCAAGGAGACATCACCAGATGGCTGGACTCAGTGGATCCAAGCTGGTACTTGCTTGCATCCAGAAGACTCCTCTGATGGAAAGCAGGCCCCACATTGTGGGGCCATAACTGTAAATGCAAAGCATAACTCTCACCTGAAAAGGAATAACAGATAGTTTATTCTGGAGCTAAATATAAGTGACCATGGCCCGGGAACACATATTCAGGCTACCCCACAGTCCATGTTCCATCATGACATCTGTTTCATTGAGTTTTATAGTAACAGAAAAATGAAAAGTCATTATGTCAAGACACATTTCAAATACATTGGTGGATACATTGAGTAGGTATGTCATGGCAAAGTGTGTGGGAGGGTGGTTGGAAGAACAGGGCAGGGCAGGGATTTCTACTATAGATCTCAGATGCTTTCTGATGACATTCTTAGCTTTTTGATTCTTTGGATCTGGTGGTCTGCTAAGTTAAGACATCCCAAAGAGTTTTTCCTGTTAGAAATAGGATGTTAGGTCAGGAATAGAGATGGGTAAATAAAAGGCTATTTAGGGACTAAAGGTAGCCTGAGATGAGTGGTGATGAGGCTCTGCACCTGCAACATTGCAGACTCTCCACAATCTCTGCAGCTCAGTTAATCAGTCTTGCAGAAAGATGTCCAGTGTGAAGATGGCAGGTTTTTCTGGGAACTTTGGGTCACAACCACTATCAGCAGGTCCTGAGTCAACCTGGAGTGCATTCCACCAGGGACGTGGGAAAAAGGCACAAGGTCAGAGACAGCTTCTCAGAGTGCAGGACTGCTGTGGGCAGCTATTCTGGGATGTTCCATAACCCTTTGATCTTTCCATCATGGAAAAACTGACTGATCTAAAAGCAGGTTGTGAGGTCTTTGATTTGAGGGCCTTCCTTCCACAGGGGAAATCTTAGATGCCAAAACAGCTGCTGTCTGTGGTGGCTAAGTAAAAACCTTTCCCTAATTTACTTTTATTTCCCGTGTATGACTGTTATGTAAGTGCACCTGTGTCATGCATTGCCCATGGCTGTCAAAAGCGGATGTTGGATCCCCTGGGACTAGAGTTAAGGATGGTTGTTAGCCACCATGTGGATGCTGGGAACTAAATCCAGATCCTCTGCAAGAGCAGTCAGTGTTTCTAACTGCGGAGCCATCTCTCCAGACTTGGAATGATTAATTTTAACTGTCAACTTGATTGGACTAAGAAACATTTGATGAGCTGGACGTGGTGGTGCAGGCCAGTGTACTAGACGATTTTAAGCCTCCAAGTTCTCCATTATTTCTGACAGAATTGGCTCTGTTTCTGGTAGTTAAGAGCCTCTATTTTTTTTTTTTTTTTTTTTTTTTTTGTCTTTTTGAAACGGGGTCTCTGCCCCGGCTGGCCTGGAAGTCACTTTGTAGACCAGGCTGGCCTTGAACTCACATATATCCTCCTGCCTCTGCCTCCCCAGAGCTGAGATTAAAGGGTAGGCCACCATGTCCAGCTCCAGCCTCTACATTTTCACACAGCCAGACTTGTTTTTCTTATTCAAAGTATGCTGAAAGCTAGGCCAGGTGGCATGAAGTGTAATCCCAGCCCTGTGGAGGCTGAGGCAGGAGGATCAGGAGTTCAAAACCGGTGAACATTTTGACAGCATCAACTGTCTGTGGAGCTGATGCATAGTTACCACACAGGCCCTACTGTGTGCCTCTGTCACAGGTCTCTCCTCAGCTGCCATGAGAACGTGTGCTCCCTGTGTGACATTTCTAGTCTTCAGTGTAATGACGTCATGACTTCATTTGTTCAGTACTGGTGTGAATGTCTCCCCGCCTACCTTCCATTCCCTTTGGGGTTTCTTTCTCCCTCCCAGCACCTCCCCCTGCTCTGGTACTTGGTACTTAGTTCTATGTCCCAGGAAGGAGACAGCAGGCAGGTCCGGTTCTCTAGGGGCCGCCAGAGGGCGCTGCCCGCGGGGAAAACAGGCTCAACTCAGCCTGTGTAGGTTGAAAGGAGAAGCAAGCTGAGCTGTTCTTAGCCTCCTTTAACTTTGGTTCTTGGAAAGTCACCCAAACTGAAGCAAAAGCTCCTATTCGGAATCGGTGGGGAATTCTTTCATGCAGCCAGGAGAGTCTTGGTATTCAGGGCCTTTGAAGCTTTCTCCCAGGAGACAGAAAACGCAAATAACATGGGTCTGGAGTGGGAAATACTTCTGTCCTCTGGGTGCCCACAGCACTCTGGACAGCCACAAACACCCAGGCTGGAATCGGACCTGCCCCACCTCCTAGCTGGGTGCCGCTGGCCAGGACAGCCCCTCTGGTCTAGTCTGACAATGCCAACCTGCCTACTCAGCAGGTTTGTGCTCAGAGTTAAGGTCCACGGTATTGGGGAAGCTTCCAGAATCCTCTTTCAGATTTGGGATGGAATCTGAAATCAAGGCTAGCACTTCAGATCTCTGGGGCCGGGGGAGGGAGGAATTCTCCTCTCCCCTTTCTGGACTCTTCTACCACACCGCCCCCTCACATCCTTTGCTCCCTCCCAAGTGGATCCCCAACTCAACTACGCCCAGCCAGCGGTGCCCGCCCCCTCCCCCCACCCCCCTCCCATGGGAGGCTGGAGGGCAGGACCAGCTTTGGCGTGTCTCATGCAGGCTGGGGGCGAGTTGATTCTGGTCAGCGCATAAATTAACTTGGGTTTCTCGGACAGTGCAGGCTTCTGCCGCCTCTCCCACTCCTAGTCCTGAGTAAAGGAACCTGCAAGTGCAGACCCAGAGCAAAGGGTGCTCAGGAGAACCTTCCAGGTGAGAACCCAGAGGCTGGGCAAAGGAGTGCAGCGCGGTGTGGGGACGCAGAGCCCCCTCCAGACACCGCATCCCGGGTGGAGTGCGCAGAGCGCGCAAGTGTCAATTAAAGTGGCCCCCAGGGTGAGGAGGGAGAAGAGAATGCCCGGTTCCATCCTTGGAGTCCTTCCCGTGGCTTGGCCCAGCTTGGGGACCCGGATCGGGTATGAGGCTTCCCAGGCAGAATGTTGGAGGGTGCCGGCAGGGCGGCTGCAGCCTCTGTGCCTCGGTGTCCCCGTGGTGCCTGCCCTCAGCTTGGGGAAGGTGCACCCAGGTCTGCAGGGCCCAGCGGGGGTGTGCGACACGCTGTGATGTAAAGAAACCAAGACACAGAGAGGCCAAAGCCAGAGCAGTAAGTGGGGTTTGTGTGGCGGCTGGAGCAGCACCACAGGTGCCCAAGAGTGCGCTTGCGCCCTGCCGGGGTTCGCACCACCAGGCCTGGCCTCCTGCTTAGAGGTGGTCAGGAAGGGGTGTCAGGCCCAAGAGGCCAGATGAGCTGTGTGGAGACAGGAAGCTGCGATAGCCTTTCCCTAAAGAAACCGATACTCTGAGAGGTGGAGAAGCCACTGCTATGGCCCAGTGAGTAGACTTGTGCATGCCTGGGGTATCCTGCTGCATTGGGCAGGGTGCTGGCTGTCTGCCCCGGTCCAGCCCTGACCGTGAGCTAGGAAGTGGACCTACCACCCAGGCCTTCTGATCTGTCCAGGGAAATCAAGAATCAGACATGTGTGTGAAACTTTATTATCGGTATTATTTTGAGGTAGGGTCTTACTATATATAGCCCAAGCCGACCTTGAACTCACAGTCCTCTTGCCACAGCCTCCTCAGTGTTGGGGTTACAAAGATGTGTTACCCTGCGGATGATATCTTTTTTTTTTTTTTTTTTTTTGGCCTTTTTTTGAGACAGGGTCTCTCTGTGCCCCCAGTTGACCTGGAACTCACTTTGTAGACCAGGCTGGCCTTGAATTCAGAGAGCTCCATCTCCCTCTGCCTCCCAGTGCTAGGAGTAAAGGCCTGGGCCACCATGCCCAGCTCCATATCTTATATTTAAATATCAACAGTCAAGTAATTTAAAGACAACTTTGTGTTGAGGAGTGGGTGGATAGGATGATGAAATTTTTCGGAAGCCAGAGTGCAGGGCGGCTTCTATAAATTCCAGGAAAATGGAAACTCCCTTGTACTGGTGACTAGTGAACTCTGGCTAAGGGCCTGTTCTCCTTCTCTTTCAGTTTCATTTCTTTTCTTTTTCCTCTTAAACCCTCACCGCAGCCCCAACTTCCTCCCTATACACTGGAGATTAACACCCAGGGCTTTGTCTGATACTGTTTTGATTGTTTGTTTGTTTGTTTGTTTGTTTGTTTGTTTGAGAAGGGGTCTCCCTGTAGCCCCAGCTGGCCTGGATCTCACTATGTAGACCAGGCTGCCCTCCATCTCACAGAGATCTGCCTGCCTCTGCCTCTCCAGTGTTGGGATTAAAGTGCGAAACCAGTCCAGCTCTGATACTGTTTTTAAGAATGAGGTACAGGGAGGTCTGTGTTAGCCCAGAAGCCTTCTTCCCCCCTTCTCCCTCACAGTCTGAACTCAGAAAGTGATGCTGCTATCTGAAGGTCTGGGTCTTTACCTCCTCTTTGTGTATCCCAGAGCCCCTCTGTAACCTTCCCATCGGCCTGGGCACCCACAAAACTCCAGGGTTCCCAGTTGGCATCGGCCTTCCCTGCGCCTGGAAGGTGGACTTCTGGGAACCAGGGCCCATTTTAAGGACAGCATTGTTGAATTAGTTGTGCTGCTGTGGGAGGGTCACACTCTCCTTCCTCCTGCATCCTCCTCTCTCTGTCATTCACAGACACAGGTGGACATGGACTGGGAGGCAGGGCAGGACAAGCTGCCCCCTCAGTCTCTCAAGCCTGAAGAAGTTAGGAAGTGGAGCTCTTTGGCACAAACCTTTCCTTCACAATAAGTCTGTTGATGCTCTAACTTCTGAAATGATTCCTGTGAGGAATTTAAACCAGCCTTTCTGCTGATCAGGGCAACCACAAAGCTGCATCTGCCTGTGGTGTGGGACTGGCAAACCCCAGCTGCAGTGGGGCCCCCTTCCTTGCCCAGCTCCCCTGCTCCCTGGCACCTGCTGGTCATCATCCTGAAGAAGTCTGACTTGTGCCCTGACACTGGCCTGGCTGGGCTAAGGGGAGGATGCAAATGGCATTTGCATGCTGGTACCTCATCTGCCTCATGGGTTTTGACTTAAGGGCATCAGAGGAGGTCAGGAGCAGCATCTATTTGAGTGGGCAGTGAGGGTGAAATGGGTACAGTAGGGCCCCTTCTATTAGGGTTCTCCAGAGGAACAGCATTGACAGAAAGAATATATATGAAAATAAATTTTAAAATATTTATTTACTTATTTATTTTGGTCTTTTGAGACAAAGTCTCCCTCTAACCCCAGCTGTCCTGGAACTCACTATGTAGACCAGGCTGGCCTTGAACTCACAGAGATCCATTTACCTCTGCCTCCCAAGTGCTGGGATTAAAGGTGTGCTCCACCATGCCCTGTAAAATAGTTCATTATTTTATTTTTTGTGTATGAGTGTACTGCCCGCATGTATATAAGTGCACCCGTGTTGTGGTTGCCCATGGAGGTCAGAAGAGGGCGTTAGATTCCTAGAACTGGAGTTACAGATGATTGTTTTGAGGGGGGACATGGCTTGTGGTATAGCCGCTGAATAAGGGCTGGGGAGGCGGGTAAAGAGACCTCAGGAGATGCCAACCAGGGCTGTGACTGTACTAGAGGAAATGGAGGTGGGGTGTATGTGAAATCTCAGGAGATGCAGACCAGGGCACGGACTCCTCCCTATGGAGGGACTATGGCAGGGGACTCCATAGGGAGGAAACAGAGGTGGGGTGGAAGTAATCCCCAGCCTTGGGAGAAAGGGATTTATAGTTCTGTTACTTTTTTTTCTGTCTTTTTGGGACATGGTCTCCCTGTAGCCCCAGCTGTCCTGGAACTCACTGTGTAGACCAGGCTGGCCTCAAACTCACAGATCCGCCTGCCTCTGCCTCCCAAGTGCTGGGACTACAGGCGTGCACCACCATGCCGGCAGTTCTGTTGCTTTTTAACGAGGCTCGCCTCTCTTCATACATTCTATCACCGGGTACCTCAGCAGCCCAATCTGACACCCCAAATCTGGGGCCTCTGTCAGCCATGGAGGCCTAGACACGCTGGTTCTGATGTCAGCAAAGGAGGCAGCAACAGCAACAACAGGATGTCAGCTGGACAATGAAAGGGAAGGTCAACAAGGAAAAGAACCATGTGGGCTGCTACCAGACAATGCCGATCACATCTGGGTGCGTCTTCCAATGTCAGGGAAGTTCCTCCAGGGAGGCTCCCTGCTCAGGTGATTCTAACTTGTGGCAAGTTGACTTTAACGCCAACTCTCATGTCCTTTAGTCACAGTTTTACCTTCGGTAGTTTCAGCCACCTGCAGCCAGAGAGTAGGTGAAAAATTCCAGAAATTAGCTGGGAGTGGTGGAGCACGCCTTTATCCCAGCACTCAGGAGGCAGAGGCAGGCGGATCTCTGTGAGTTCAAGTCCAGTCTGGTCTACATAGTGAGTTCCAGGCTAGCTGGGTCTACAGGGAATCACGAGTCCAGACTTGTGTGGGCTATGGAGCAAGACCTTACTTCAGAAAAGCAGAGAGGGGCTGGAGAGACGACTCAGTGGTTTAGAGGACTAACTGGTCTTGCTGAGGACCCTGGTTAAGTTTCCAGAACCCACATCGTGGCTAACAGTCATCTGTGAGTCCAGTTTGAGGGAATCCAAAGCCTTTTTCTTGCATTTGTGCTCATTGCACAGCAGGGGTGAAGTTACATGCAGGCAATATACTCATACACATAAAAATTTAAATTAAAAAATTGTTTAAAGTAAAGCATAAACAGCTGGATGTAGTAGCACACACCTTTGATGCCAGCCCTCCAGTCCTCCAGAGGCAGTGGCAGAGGCAGGCAGGTCCCTGTGAGATCCAGTCCAGCCTGGTCTACATAACAGCTTCTGGGCAGGACGGGGCTACAGGCAGACCCTGTCTCAAAAAAAAAAAAACAACAAAACCGGAATCAAACCACCTCACCCCCAAATGCCCAAGCAAACTCTCAACCAGATGTCTTTTTGAATGTCCTTTAAGGTCTACAGAGATGCCCATCACTGTGGATGACATCATACAGCTGCTGTGCCTCATTTCCCAGAACAGAAGAATGGAGGCAGCCAAGAGGCACTCTAGGACCGGTGCTGTGGCCAAAACGGCACTGGGCTCCATTTTTGGTGGTTTAGTTGCTGGCCCAGCAGGAGCAGTCTTTGGTGAGTGTGTGTGTCTCACAGATACAGCCAGCTGTGAGCGTGTTGTAAGAAGGTTTCTGGAGTCAGGCATGGTTGTGTATGCCTTTAATCCCAGCACTTCAGAAGCAGGAGGTGGAGAGTGTGAGGACAGGCTGGGCTCTATATACTGTGCTCCAGGCCTGTCTGAGGCTGTGGAGCCATAGGGAGGAATGGCCTGGGGACAATGGTACTGCATGCCCTGTGTGAGGAGTCTGTGGGTCCCAGTTGCTTCTGTCTGCCCTGTTGGAAGCACGGCTCCTGTGTGGAGGCCTCAGGATGCAGGGTGATCTTGGCCTTGACATCTGTATCTCTTCACACATGGGAGACACCTTTCTCCTGGTGCCAGGAACCCCCTGGTCCTGCCCTTCTCCTAGAGCTGAGTCCTGGAATCTAAAGATACAAGGTGTCTAGGTTCCCTTGGATGTCCCTGCCCCACATCACCATTACCACACTACCTGAGAAGGAATGTAGGGTGGAAGCTTGTTTTGCTGAGCTCCATCCATGAACAGATAGATGCTCAGGGTATGGCTGTTTTACACGGGCTGGCTTGCTCCAGGAGAGGCCCCCTTAAAAAGCAAGGGGTCCAAAAGCACAAAACAAGGACAGAAAAGCAAAACAAAGGTCCAAACGGCAGCCATGCCCAGGAGAGCGACTCTGCCCACAGTGAACATCCTACCTGCATTTTGCCACCTGTTTCTGCTTGCCAGTGTCTGTCACTGAATCAAAGAAAGGCTAACCCCCCACCCCTCCACTGTTCTCTGGAACCTCATTTACGCTGAGAGCCTGTGTTATAATCCTGGCTTATTATAACCCACCTGGCTCAGAACCATGGCTCAAAGCATAGGTTAACAGGGAGCCCCAGCTGGTCGCCCTCCAGGGAGTTGAGAAGAGGTCTAGGAAGGACAAGGAAAGTTCCCACACCCTACACCCTGAGATGGCTACCCCTGGAGCGTGCAACACAATTAGCTGGTGTCTTTACCAAAGCTGGGCACCTGCAGTGTGGGGCAACGTAGTTAATTACTGGCTGGCAACCCACTCCTAGAAGCCCGTCCTAGGTGACCACTACTCCACACATACTTTTTTGCCAAGGCTGTCAAGGCTTCCCGCTCTGTTCTTGTCTTCGTAGCAGGACTGACATGGAGAACATTGCAATAACCTGAAGCCCCATTTCAGAGAAACTTCAGCACATGGGTGGCCCAGACCTTCCCCTAATGTGTTCCCCTTTCCAAATTCTGTGAATTCAGGTGTCCTGACCTGGCTTCTTGCTGCTCAGAGAAGGAGGAGACAAACTTACTTCCTGTCAATGACACACCAGCCTTCCCCCCACTCCTATCCAAGTGCCCCTGACTCAGACAACAGGACCGTTTTATCATGTAGCTGTTTCCCATCTCCATCTTGGGAGCCTTTTCTTTTATACAGGTTGAATAAAGCCAAGAGAGAGCAGAGTCTGTAGGGAGATCCTGGGTGACTCGCTGCTTCCAGCCCCTGGTCACTGGGGGTGCTTCATTTCCCCTGAGAAACACAGAGATTCTCTCTGCTGCAAAGACCAAGTGGTAATTTTCGGGTTGATGTCCTGGCAGCTTTTTGCATTAAGTGCTGCAGTGAATCAAATACTGATGGTCCCATAAAGGGTTAGTGCACATGAGAACAGTGCTGCCAGCCCAAGTGTTTCACTGGCGTCACAGGGAAACGTTTAGTCAAACTTGTAAATCAGCAGGTTCTCCGCTCAGAGCCTTTCCTTTAGACAGTAAATGTGGCTGGCCCTGTCCTGGGATGCAGAGCAGGCATCTGCCCCAGGGACCACACTGCTTGGATTCGGACCACGTGAGGTTTGCCTTCTGTTTTCTGAGTCCAGCGTACAAATGGGTTCTCCCTGGCCTAGCCTGTATTATATATTTATTTACTTTAATTAATTTGAAATTTTTATGTGTGTGATTTGCTTACATATTTTTAAGTGTACCTTTGCATGCAGTGCCCACAGAGGCCAGAGGTGGGTGTCAGATCCCCCAGGACTGAAATTACAGTTGGTTGTTAGCTGCCTGTGAGTGCTGTTCACTGAACCTGGGTCCTCTGCAAGAGCAGCCAGTGATCTTAACCTCAGAGGCAATGTGCCAGCCCCATATAGTTCGTTTATTTTTGAGACAACGTTTTGCTGTATAGTCAGGCTGACCTCAAACCTAGCTCTCCAGAGCTAGGATGACAAGTGTGCATCACCATGCCCAGCTAAGGCTGCATTTTCTAAAACAAGCTTGTACTCCCTCTCTCCCTCCCTCCTTCCCTCCCTCCTTTCCTCCCTTCTTCTCCTGTCCCTGTTTCTCTCTTTCAGTACAGGGCCTCTCTATGTTGCTCAGGCTAGCCTAAAACAATCTGTATCCCAGATTGGACTTCAGACTTGAGATCTTGTGCCTCAGTCACAGAGTGCTGGGATTACAGTTCTGTGTCAGTTATGTGTCCAGCGGTTAGATCAAAGGTCTCAAGTGTGTTCTGCGTTAGTCTTCAGGTACATGACATCCCATGGTGTCTCCAGTGAACGCAGGCCTTGGGAACTTGCCAAGGTCACATGTTCTCGGATTTTCACTGTGAAGTTTCTGCTTTTCATACCGTATTCTGTACTTTAGGAGTGACTCGCTAAGTCCAGTCAGGTGGCAGCTGTGAACATCTGATTGCTGACATTTAAATTTTGTGGGATGCTTTAAAGATCCGAATCTGGTGTTCTGAGTGGCCACAGTTGGCTGGCATGTGGCAGTAGCTGCTTCTTCAGGCAGAGACCCAGCTCTCCAGGATACTGCAGGTCCCTCTGCTCACTTTGCCCCTTTGGTCATCTCCCTGGCCCTTAAAGGTACTTGGTTGATACTTATGCCCATAAGGTGCCTTGCCTGACCTTGTACGACACGGTACATGGTCTGATGAAGTGTTCGTTTCCATCCTACAAGATCTTTAATTGCCCAAACTATGCAATAAACTTACATTTAAACACAGTGTGTCTAGCTCAGTGGAGAGAGCTTTTCTAGCATGCCTGAAACCCTGAAACCACCGTTCCCCAAAAGCATAAATCTAAAAATAATGAGCAGAGATGGACGTAGTGGCACATACCTATGATTCTAGCATCTGGGAGGTTATGGTAGAATGATCAAGAGATCTCGGTTAGCCTGGGCTACACAGCAAGCCCCTGACTCAGAAAAGAAGAGAAAAGGGAGAGCCAAAGCTTGTGCCCTTGTTGGGCGTCAGAAAGAGAAAAGGTTAATTGATATCGATTCGTTTCTGACATTCTACAACTTAGGCTAGATAGACTCAAAACACTCTTCAAGAGAAAAACACTTTTGCTGGTCCCCAGGATCCTTTTCCCATGTGAATGTTCTGGATATTTCCTAAGCTTGAGGGCAAATTCACATCATATGGAAGTCACCATATGGAAGCAGCCGGACTCCTGGTCTCCATGTGGAGATGGTTTTCTGGGAAAATGTACTTCCCTCTCAGCCTCTCCTCTGTGGAGAGAGAGAGATTTTTCTGGGAGTCCTGAGAGTAGGGTGTTCATCAGCCATGAAGGGTGGGAGGGTGTAGTGTTTGTTGAGCATGGATGTTGAAAGGGGTGTGCTGGACCAAATGGGCTAGAGACCATGTAGACCTTTGCCCTGTAGACTATCTGGGAGAAGATGAGCTTGCCATGACCAAGTTTGCTGTGACTGGCTCCTGAATGTGCCCATTTGTCATGACAGTGACCCCACTCTTGACAAGAAGCAAGGCAGTATGTTGCGGGTGAGGTCGACCTAATCGACTCCTTTCTTGCTTTCCAGGGGGTGCCATTGTGGGCCTGCTAGGTTCCTGGAGTATGCATGATGAGTTTAAGCCAGTTCCTCAGATCCTAATGGAGTTGCCCCCTGCCAAAAAACAGAAGCTCTTTAACCAAGCAATGGCCATCATCAGGAACGTGAACAAGACAGACCCTGGAGTGCTGACTCTGCTGGTCATGGACAGCATTGTGGTGCAGCAGAAACTCCTGGCCATGTTAGAGGCCTACATCTTCAATGAGCTGCAGGCTGACATCCGCTACCGTGACTAGGCTGCTTCCCCTGGGGAGTGGGGCTTTGTTTAGGTGATTCTGTGACTCTCAGAAGGTGACTGGAGAATGAGGGATATCTGGCAGATCCACCTGAAAAACCTGCACTGACTTGGAGTGGAGCATCCCACTGGCACGTCCTACTGGAGTGTCCTGCGGAACGGCTCCAGCCATGCTGTGTGGTGGCCCAGCAGTCATTTGAGGCAAGTGTCTTGAACTGTGTGTGCTGCTGTGCACTGGCAGCCCTTTACTGGGTGCTGACAGAGGCTCTGGCCACCCCAGCTTCCCAAGTACCCCTATCAGGTGGGGACCAAAGGAAGTCCCCCCAGTATAATGATGGCTGACTACCCTGCATGCTTCTCCCCATCTGAAGACTGTGCCTCCCTCAGGTACCTCTCCCAGGACTGGACCCTTTACCCTCTAGGGTCTTGGAGCTCAGAGCCAGCTCTACTGAGGGTGCCCTTCCCTATTCAGGGTCTTCCCAGTCATCTCATGGAGGCAGTGGTTGGTCCTGAGTGAAGTCACAGATGACAGGCAGGCTCCCCACTCTGCCACTGGCTGCACCCCCAGGCTCTCTTGGGTAACTCTGGTTAAGCGTCTAAGGTCTTCTTCCCTCATATGAAAAATCATAGCAGTTCTTTAGTTTTTACTTTTATTGTCAGTTCTGGTCTCGTTTAGCTTTCTACACACAGGTAGCCTAAGTTAATCGTACTAAAATATATATATATATATGATGGTTTGGGATGTTCTGTGTGATATATTTATATATATATATATACACACACACACACAAATATTCTCACTGTGTTACCCTGGGTGGACTTGGCCTCCTGGGCTCCAGTGATCTTACTACAGCTGAAGCTGCAGGCTTGTGCCACCGTACCTAGCATTACCTCAGAGACCACCTTTCCATGCCCCTTTGCCTCCAGCAACTTCAACAACAACTTCGGTTTCACGATCCGATCTGAGCTGCTGTGATGCAGTCCCAGCTAACTGGAAAGACAAAGCCTGAACGTCCTTGACCCCAGGGACTCAGCAGGAAGTACTTTTTGTTTCAGACTTCCTTCTCTGTCAGGGTTAAACAAGAGGGAACCACCTTCTCACTGGCTGAGACTGCCTTGTTTGGAGTTTAGATACTATTCCCTGGTTTCCTGTAAGAGTAGGAGTGACTCTGATTTGACAGGTCACTTGTTTGGCATTTTCCTTGTGTTATGGATGGAACCCAGGGCCCTGCAGAGGCTGGGCAAATACCCTCCACTGAGCCCCAGCCCAGCTCCTCACTGCTCTACAGCTGCCGAGCTCATCCAAACCAATCTCGTAGGGGTTTGACTGAACATCTGCTGCTTCCTTTTGTCTGGTTTGTACTGGAAATGCACACTCATGGAGGACAGGAGCTGGTCTTGGCCTTCACTCCTGTCTCCAGCCTTGTACTGTGCCCTGCATGAGGTGAATACTCAGTATATAGATTTATTAGTTTTTGGCTTTTTGAAACAGGGTTTCTCTGTGTAGCCCTGGATGTATTTGAACACTTGATCTTCCTGCTGCAGCCTCTTCGGCACTGAAATTACAGGTGTGCATTGCCATGTTAAGTTCAATAAACAGATTTTTTTTAAAAAAAAGTGTTGTTTTATGTTTTTAAAAAAATTTTTTTAATATTTTATTATTTTTATATTATGTGTATGAGTGTATTGCATGCATGCATATAGGTAAGTGCACCCGTGTCGTGCAATGCCTGCGGAGGACAGAAGAGGCTGTTGGATCCCCTGGGACTGGAGTTAGGGACAGTTGTTAGCTGCCATGTGGGTGCTGGGATTTGAACCCAGGTCTTCTGCAAGAACAACCAGTGTTCTTAACCACTGAGCCATCTCTCCAGTCCTCCCTTTATATATAATTTTTTAATTACTTTTATGTGTATGTGTGCATTGCCTATGTGTAGGTAAGTGTACCCGTGTTACACAATGCCCATGTAGGACAGAAGAGGCTGTCGGATCCTCTGGAACCGGAGTTATGGACAGTTGTTAGCTGCCGTGTGTGTGCTGGGATTCGAATACGGGTCTTCTGCAAGAACAACCAATGTTCTTAACCTCTGAGCCATCTCTCCAGCCCCTTTTATGTTTTTTGAGAGCAGGTATCATGTAGTCCAGGTTGGCCTCCAACTTCCTATGTAGCCAGAGATGACCTTGAACCTCTGCTCCTCCTGTCTGTACCTCCCAAGGACTGGGATCACAGGGGTGTACTGCTATGCCAGGCTTCAGGAAATATTTTTTACATCACTGTTTTAGAAACACTTCCTCTAGACCTTCTCCAGGAAGTAAACATCCTCCTTCTCTGTGTAGCAAAGGAGACCGAAAGTCAAGTTTCCAGGCTCTTAAGCTGCTGGGCTGGGAAGTGAAGAAGCCAGAATCTGGAGCCGTCTCTGGAACCCGAGCCCTCACTAGATACCGTGCAGGTGTTTCCCAGTTTTCAGGAAAATGGAACGGTTTTTTTTAAAGTTGGTCTCCCTGTGGACCCCCAGCAGACCTAGAACTCACTACACAGACCAGGCTGGCCTTGAACTTACAGAGAGCTCCTCTTGCCTCTGCCTCCTGCGTGCTGGGATTAAAGTCTCATCACACCAGGCCATGCAACCTTGTAGCTTTGAGCCACATTTTCCAAATGAAATATTAATAGTAACAGGTATGCTATCTCGATACAGGGATCTCCAACTGTAGACAAGCAGTTTCCACCCTAAAGCACCGCCCCCCACCATGCTGTGCTCTTTGTTTTCAGAACCACAATCTGTGTGGTCAAATTACAATAAAATATTTTCCACTTAAATTTTATTTTGTCATGTATTTTGTGGTAATTGCTTTTGATATATAAAGGCTTATAAGAGGAAGAAAAAGGCAGGTTGCGGGAGCTAGAGAGATGGCTCAGCAGTTAGGAGCACTGGCTGCTCTTGCAGAGGACCTGGGTTCAATTCCCAGCATCCACAGGATGGCTAACAACTGTCCTTAACTCCAGTTTCAGGGGATCCAACACCTGGCCTCTGTGGGCATTGCATGTGTGGGTGCACATACACACGTAAGCAAAACACTTCTACACGTAAAAGTTTAAAAATTAAATGTTTAAGAAAAGGAAAGCTGCTAGGTTTGGTCTTTAGGGGGAAGGTGAACGCTTCCGTGCTCTAGCTTTGGCCCTGTGCTGCCAGCTGCTCATCCTGCCCCAGCCTCCTCCAGCCCTGGGTGCCCAGACTCGGGACAGGCAGGGATGGACCTGCTGTAGGGTCAGAGGAGGAGCTGGAGCTGGGCTGAGGGCCAGTCGAGTGAGCTCAGCACCCTTGCAGGGCAGGCACCTCCATGCAGGAAGAAGGCTCCAGGTGGGTCCCCCCCCGCCCCCGACATGGGGACAGGCAGGAGGAGCCTTTGTCTCAGAGCGCTTCTCAGCTGACACTTGTCGGTGTCTTGGCCCAGGTGACACTCTGGGAACTGACAACGTCACTGACCATTTCAGCCCTGCTTAGTTGAGTGGACGGGGACTAGGCAGGGCCAGGGTGCTGTCTCTGAAGACTACAGTGCTTCTGGTTGAACCAGCCCTTTCTGTTCTTCCTGCTAAACAGTCAGTGCCCCTTAAGTATCTTGAACTAATGCTCTAAACTCAGGCCCTCTGTTCGCCCCAGTTTCTATAGCTTTATCGGGCTCTAAAGTTACACCCTTTTTTTTTTTTTAATTTCTAAAATTTAAAAACCACATGATTAGAAGAAGCATTTCATTACAGCTTTAACATATTCAGCAACACATTCCAAAGCAAGGATACATCTCTTTCAAAAGTGGCTGTAAATTTTTAAGTTCACAGTTGAATTAATACAGCTAAACAACATTGAACTCAGTATAAACCCTTGTAAGATGTAAAATTGAATGAGCTTTTACCCTTTAAAGATCTCCATTTCATTTTAAAATATGCTGTTTCCTACATTTTTAACGCTACTAACACTTAGATGTTTGCACATGTGTCTTTAATCTCTATGTATCTGATTATTACTAGTCACAGTCGGTTACACTTGGATCCTTAGTACCTGAAAATGGATATCAAGTCATCAGGCATATTTTACTGGTAATGTTTATCACCTCTACTATTTAACATGAAGTAAATTTTTATGCTTCCTCCTCAAATATCTTTTTTAAAAAAATTGATTTTTTTCATGTGTATAGCATACAGAACATTCCACACAATCTTATTCATCTATATATCCACTTCCCAAATGGCACCCTCCCATAGCCTCCCCCCTTCCCCACTGGAGCCCATATACTCTTGTCATCCCTGTTACTGTCCACTGTGTTGTTGGCGCCCCCAGCCGTTTCCCAGTGCTTATCCAGCTGTTGAGTCTAGTCAGCCTATCTAAGTTCCTTGTTTTAGGAAGATCACCTCTTCCTCATCTAGCAGCAATCAGTTGTCAATATTCCTTTAGATAAGATTGGGGTGTGCTGTTCATTTTCCTAGTTCTATGCTTGGTTACTGTCTGGGAGTCTTTTGGGCTACCCTGGCCCATAGCTCAAAGGAAGGTATCTCCTGTCTGGCATTGTTTCTTATGTAGCCTTTAACTGTACATATGGACTCTTAAAAAATTATATTGACCCCATTAATCTTTGGTTATACTTTCCTTTTGCGTGTTTAAGACCCTACAATTGGCCCAGATGAACCAATTTATTTTTACTCTTAAGGTCGTTTGAGGATCTGTTTCTCAGGAGTAACATGGGCTTGGGAAGAGCCCTGGCTCCTTTCTTTTACTCATTCTGTCTATGTGGAGATAAGTCAAAGGTCCTGCTCGATCATGGCTGGCTTTGCTTGGAAGCATGGAGGAAATGCTTCCCCTGTGTTGACTCTCCTCTTTGTAGACTGGACACTGGTTCAAGTCCATCTGGTGGGGTCTCCTCAGCCTCCTTGATCAAGAGGACAGGCGACTCACCACAGTTACAGGACATTTTGAGGGATGCTCATAGTCCCCTGGAATTTATTGGACCTAGGAGGGAAGGGAGCAAAAACTGTCCTTTATGTCCCTCTATCCAAAGTAGTATAGGCCTCATAGTATAGCTGTTAAATATCCAAGAAGGTTAGTTCCACCAGTCTGGTACTTTTAATTACCATGTGCCATGTAGATAGAGCTTGGGCAAAGACCAAACGCTCTTAGATAAACCTTGCCTAGACATATATTATGTTCCTTGATATGGTTGTATGTATAATTTGTCAGTAGGTTGTTGGCTTAATATGGTTACCTCTGGTTTTCTAAAACTAGGCATTATTCATCTCTCACATCGTCTAACCCTTCCACCATGGTTTCCCCATTTAAGGTGCCCCCGTTTTTCCCATTTCTCCCTTAATAATACCCTTCTGTGGTCCCACCTCTCTTGAGCTCCTTCTTTCCCTTTATCCCCTAGGTTTCTTGTATAACCTCCCTTCCCCTCCCCTTAAACAAACCCCATTTTTATCTATTTCTCCTTTGTTAACACCTGTTAACAAGAAAGAATCTGAAAGAACAGTGGAATATACTCTTTTTAAAAATTAAAAAAAAATTTATCTATTTTTTTAAATTTTATGTGTATGCATGTATTGCCTGCATGTAAGTAAGTGCACCCCTGTTATGCAGTACACATAGAGGTCAGAAGAGGGTATTGGATCCTCTGGGACTGGAATTAAGGACAGTTGTTAGCCACCCTGTGGGTTTTAGGAAACAACCCAGATCCTCTGCAAGAGCAGTCAGTGTTTCTAACTGCTGAGCCATCTCTCCAGACTTGGAATGATTGATTTTAACTGTCAATATGATTGGACTAAGAAACATTTGCTGAGCTGGGCATGGTGGTACAGGCCAGTGTAGTAGACGATTTTAAGCCTCCAGGGTCTCCATTATTTCTGACAGAATTGGATCTGTTTCTGGTAGTTAAGAGACTCTACTTTTTAACAGAACCAGACTTTATTTCTTATCCAAAGTATGCTACAAAGCAAGCTAGACCTGGTAGCATGAAGTGGTAATCTTAGTCCTGGGGAGGCTGAGGCAGGAGGATCGGGAGTTCAAAACCAGTAAGCATTTTGAAAGCATTAAGTGTCTGTGGAGCTGATGCATAGTTACCACACAGGCCCTACTGTGTGCCTCTGTCACAGGAGGTCTCTCCTCAGCTGCCATGAGAACGTGTGCTCCCTGTGTGACATTTCTAGTCTTCAGTGTAATCACGTCATGACTTCATTTGTTCAGTACTGGTGTGAATGTCTCCCCGCCTACCTTCCATTCCCTTTGGGGTTTCTTTCGCCCTCCCAGCACCTCCCCCTGCTCTGGTACTTGGTACTTAGTTCTATGTCCCAGGAAGGAGACAGCAGACAGGTCCGGTTCTCTAAGGGGCCGCCAGAGGGCGCTGCCCACAGTGGGTGGAGGGAGCAGGTGCACCTCAGCCTGTGTAGGTTGAAAGGAGAAGCAAGCTGAGCTGTTCTTAGCCTCCTTTAACTTTGGTTCTTGGAAAGTCACCCAAACTGAAGCAAAAGCTCCTATTCGGAATCGGTGGGGAATTCTTTCATGCAGCCAGGAGAGTCTTGGTATTCAGGGCCTTTGAAGCTTTCTCCCAGGAGACAGAAAACGCATATAACATGGGTCTGGAGTGGGAAATACTTCTGTCCTCTGGGTGCCCACAGCACTCTGGACAGCCACAAACACCCAGGCTGGAATCGGACCTGCCACTCCTCCTAGCTGGGCGCCGCTGGCCAGGACAGCCCCTCTGGTCTAGTCTGACAATGCCAACCTGCCTACTCAGCAGGTTCGTGCTCAGAGTTAAGGTCCACGGTATTGGGGAAGCTTCCAGAATCCTCTTTCAGATTTGGGATGGTTCAACGCCATTCTTTGGAAGCCAGAGTGCAGGGTGGCCTGTGTAAATTCCAGAAAAGGGAAACTTATGAGAACCAAGTGACCTCTGCTAAGGGCCTGTTCTCATTCTCTTTCTGTTTCGATTTTTTCTTTCTCCTCTTCAACCCCAACCCCCACCCCAACTTCCTCTGTCCACACTGGAGATCAGTACCTAGGACTTTGTCTGATACTGTTTTGTTTGTTTGTTTGAGAAGGGGTCTCCCTGTAGCCCCAGCTGGCCTGGACCTTACTATGTAGACCTGGCTTCCATCTCACAGATCTTCCTGCCTCTGGCTCCCCGGAGTTGGGATTAAAGTGCAAAACCAGCCCAGCTCTGTTACTGTTTTTAAGAATGAGGTACAGGGAGGTCTGTGTTAGCCTGGAAGCCTTCTTCCCCCCTTCTCCCTCAGAGTCTGAACTCAGAAAGTGATGCTGCTACCTGAAGGTCTGGATCTTTACTTCCTCTTTGTGTATCCCAGAGCCCCGCTGTAATTTGGGGTGGTTCAAGGCCAGTCTTTGGTTCTCTGGGGCCAGGGGTGGGAGTAATTCTCCACCCACCTCTGTGGACTCTTCTGTCATTCTGACCCCTCACATCCTTTGGTCCCTACCAAGAGGTTCCCAGACTCAGGTAAGCCCAGCAAGTGGGGCTTGCGATCTCCAGGTCCTGGGAAGCAGGAGGGCAAGGCCAGCGCTGGAGTGTCCCAGGCAGGGCGGGGAGGGTTAATTCTGGTCAGTGCATAAATGAACTCACCTGGGTGCAGGCTCCTGCCATCTCTCCCTCTCCCAGTCCTGCGTAAAGCGGCCTGCAGGTGGCAGACCCAGCACAAAGGGTGCTCCTCCAGGTGAGAGGCCCTTCCAAGGGAGGCCCTTCCAGGTGAGAACCCTCAGAGGCTGGGCAAAGAAGAGCAGGGAGGCCTGGGGACACAGAGTCCCCTCCAGATACCGCATCCGGGGTGGAGCAGTGCGCGCCAGTGTCAATCAAAGTGGTCCCCGGGGCGCGGAGGGAGGAGGGAGTGCCCGGCTGCAGCTTCTGGGTCCTTCTCTAAACCTGGCCCAGCTTGGGGACCAGGACATGGTTTGTCCCTCAACATGGGACTCAAGTTGCCATGGAGCCTGAAGGTTGGAGGGCAGAGCCAGGGTGGCCGCAGCCTCTGTATCCCCGAGGCGCCTGCCTCCAGGCCTGGGAAGGTGCACCGGGGTGTCCGGGGGGCCCAGCCCGGACCTCAGGTGTTTGGCAAGCTGTGATGTAAAGAAAACAAGGCAGAAAGAAGCCGAAGCTACAGGAATAAGTAGCGGGTGTGTGGGGTCTGGAGCAGCTCTGCTTGCAGCACCACAGGTGAGCATTCACTGTGTGGTGGTTGGTACTGCCAGGTCTTACTTCTAGCTTAGAGATGGTCAGGAAGGGGTGTGGGGGGCCCAGGAGGCCAGATTAGCTGTGGTGGAGACAGGAAGGTGCGGTTGCCTTCCTGTAAAGAAACTGGCACTTTGAGAGCTGGAGAAGCCATTACTATGGCCCAGTGAGTAGAATTGTGCATGCCTGCGGCATCCTGCTGGGTTGCTGGGTGAGGGGTGTCCAATGAGGTCCAGCCCTGACTGCGAGCCCCACCCTGGACCCACCACCCAGGCCTTCTGATCTTTCGAGGGAAATCAGGAATCCAAGATGTGTGTGCAGTTTTATTATCGGTATTATTTTGAGATAGGGTCTTACTATGTGTAGCCCAGGCTGACCTTGAACTCACAATCCTCTTGCCACAGCCTCCCCAGTGTTGGGGGTTAAAAGGATGTGTCACTTGCTGGTGCTATACCTATATCTAAATCTATCTATATAGATTTTTTTTTGTCTTTTTGAGACAAGGTCTCCCTGTAGCCCCAGTTGGCCTGGAACTCACTCTGTAGACCAGGCTGGCCTTACTCACAGAGCTCCATTTGCCTCTGCCTCCTAGTGCTAGGATTAAAGACCTGCGCCAGCATACCCAGCTCTATATCTTATTTTTAAATATCCACAGTCAAGTCATTTAAAGACTACTTTGTGATGGGGAGTGGGTGAACAGGATGATGAACTTCATGGGAGGCCAGAGTGCAGGGTGGTGGCTGTAAAATCCAGAAAATAGAACACCCTAGTAGTGATGACTCATGACCACTGCCTGGGGCCTGTTCTCATTCTCTTTCAGTTTCCCTTCTTTTCTTTTCTTTTTTTCCTCTTCAACCCCCACCCCCAACTTCCTCTACACTGGAGATCAGTACTCAGGGCTTTGTCTGATACTGTTTGTGGTGGAACAGGGAGGTCTGTGTTAGCCCGGAAGCCGTCTTCCCCACTTGTCCCTCAGTCTGAACTCAGAAAGTGAGGTTGTTATCTGAAGGTTTGGTTCTTACTCCATTTTGTGTATCCTAGAGCCCCTGTGTAATCTTTACCCACAAAACTCCAGTGCTCCCAGTTGGTATCAGCCTGGAAGGTGGACTTCTGGGAACCAGGGCCCATTTTAAGAACAGCATTGTTGAATTAGTTGTGCTGCTGTGGGAAGGTCACACTCTCCTGCCTTCTGCGTCCTCCTCAGTCCCCATCATTCACAGACACAGGTGGACATGGACTAGGAGGCAGGGCAGGACAAGCTGCCCCCCTCAGTCTCTCAAGCCTGAAGAAACTAGGACTTGGAGCTCTTTAGTGCAGACTTGGGGGATGAGGTCACAAACCTTTCCTTCACAATAAGTCTGTTGATGCTCTAACTTCAGAAATGATTCCTGTGAGGAATTTAAACCAGTCTTTCTGCTGATCAAGGCAACCACAAAGCTGCATCTGCCTGTGTGGAACTGGTGAACCCCAGCTGCAGTGGGGCCCCTTTCCTTGCCCAGCTCCCCTGCTCCCTGACACCTGCTGGTCTTCATCCTGAAGAAGTCTGACTTGTGCCCTGACACTGGCCTGGCTGGGCTAAGGGGAGGTTGCAGATGGCATTTGCATGCTGGTACCTCATCTGCCTCATGGGTTTTAATTTAAGGGAATCAGAGCAGGTCAGGAGCTGCATCTGTTGAGTGGGAAGGTCAACAAGGAAAAGGGAATAATCTTCCTTATTCATGTACCATCTGGTCCCGCCCACATCTGGGGTTGCGTCTTCCAATGTCAGGGAAGTTCCTCCAGTGAGGCTCCCTGCTCAGGTGATTCTAACTTGTGGCTGTTAGGTTCCGTGACTCGATGGGTCCCCTCCAGATAACAAATACACGGGATTGGAGATGTAAAAAATCAAGCAGAGTCTTTACTTTCCAGCCGGCTGGGGTCGACCGGTTTCCCAAGACATGCAAGTCTGGTCAGAACGATCGACCCCCATTCAGTTTCAGATACAGATTATATAGGCCCACATAGTCATTACACAAAAAAGCATTCCTCAGCAGACACTTTGATCAAACATCTTCTAAAAGCTATAGTTTCGGTTAAACATCTTTTCCAGGAAGGCTAGATCTGGTGTAAGCCTGGTGCAACTTCCTTCTCTTTGTTCCTTATCGGTTATCTGGTATGTGCAAACAGGCCTACAGGACACATTGTAAATCAACTAAGTCTGGGGGTGGCAGGTTGACGTTAACACCGACCATCAGGCTCCTTTAGTCACAGTTTTACCTTCGGTAGTTTCAGCCACCTGCAGTCAGAGAACAGGTGAAAAATTCCAGAAATTAGCTGGGAGTTGTGGAGTATGCCTTTATCCCAGCACTCAGGAGGCAGAGGCAGGTGGATCTCTGTGAGTCCTACATAGTGAGTTCCAGGCCAATTGGGGCTACAGAGAGATCGTGTCTCAAAACAAACAAATAAAAAAGCAAATGAAAAACAACAAAATTCCAGAAATTATTCACGAGTCTAAACACTTTGTAGGTTTTTAATTGTGCGCCATTCTAAGTAGTGTGCATTAGTGACTTCTCTGTTGCTGTGATAAAACACCATGACCAAGGCAACTTGTAAAAGGAAGAGTTTATTCTGGCTTATGTTTCCAGAGGGATGAGAGTCCATCATGGAAGGGAGGCATGGCAGCAGAGGCAGCTGGAGCAGAAAGCTGAGCTTTCACATCTTCAAACAGGTATAGGAAGCAGAGAGAGAAACTGGAAGTGGGTCAAGGCAATGAACTCTCTCAGTCCACCCCCACTGACATGTGTCGTCCATACTTCTTGAACCTCCACAAACAGCACCACCAACTGACCTGTGTTCAAGTACTTGAGCCTATGGGGACACCTCATTCAAGCCACCACATAGTGTGATGAAATCACAGGCCATCCTGCTCCATCCTGCCTGGGATGTGAATCTTCCCTTTGAACAGAGTATCCACACTGTGTACACTACCCACTCCTTAGTTACTTAGTAGCCATCAGCTCTCATGTTGTGGCTGCTCAGTGCCTGTGCTCAGGTAACCCTTGTTTTACTTAATAATGTCTGCAAAGATCAAGAGTAGCAGTGTACAGGAGGGACCAGGGCATGACAGCTGGAGGGACAGGTTAGCCATGTTTTCAGACATCCTCTGGGGTCTCCAGATGTATTCCTTATGGACAAGGGGGGCTATTCTATGCATCTCTCTCCTACCTCTTTTTTGTTGTTGTTGCTTTGAGACAGGGTCTCACCATGTAACACTGACTGTCTGGAAACTCGATGTGTAGACCAGGCTGGCCTCAAAATCAAAGATCTGCCTACCTCTGCCTCCTGAGTGGTGGGATTAAAGGCTGCGCCATCACACCCGGCCCTCCTACCTGTTTCATATGCATTGCTTTGCTGTGCAAAAATTGTTTTGAGGGTGCAAATCCATTGCTCTATAGAAAAGCCTTCTATGTGCTGGTGCTCAGGCTAAACTTCAGGATTAGAGAGGAACCAGCCTTGAGCCACCAGATGTGGACGGTCCCTATATTCTTGAGACCTGGGCTACACCTGCCTTTTCCAGTGTAATTGACAGATAAAAAGCTTGGTCTACACCAAAACTAACCTAGAAAAGGGAGTAGCTACTTTCCAGTAGGGTTTTTAGCTTTTTGAAAGGGGGTCAGCCATCTAAAGTGTATCAAATAGAAAAAGAAGCCATACCTGGCAGTACAGACCAATACTTGGGGGGCTGAAAGTTCCAGGCTAGCCTGACCTATATAGCGAGCAGAGCAAGACCCTGTCTCAAAGAAAAGAAAGAAGAAAGGGCATTTCATGGTCCTGGAGCCCAGCATATTTCTTCTTCCTCCTGGGAGCGCCCAGAAGTTATGAAAATCGGCTTTTGTCATAATATGGTGGTTGCATGGATTTTTTATAAGGATTCCGAACTCCCAGAAGTAAGAGGACATTAAGAATTAAGAATTTTCAGGGCTGGAGAAATGGTTCAGAGGTTAAGAGCACTGGCTGCTCTTGGAGAGGACCCACGTTCAGTTCCTAGCATCCACATGGTGGCTAACAACCACCTGTAATTCCAGATCCAGGGGAATCCAATGCCCTCTTTTGACCTCCTCAGGCATTACATGACATGGGTGCACTTACATATGCATAGGCAATACACTCATACACATAAAATAATAAATAAAAAATTTTAATAAAATAGAAATAAGAGATTTCTGTTTCTGCATTATTCTTGGATGATAAAGAAGGAGGAAGAGGGTTAAAGACGAAGACATAGAAGAGAGTGAATGAGAAGAGAAGGGATAGGGAGGAGGAGGAGGCAGGAGGAGGTAGGGGAGGAGGACCATTCACATAACCCAAAGCTGTTGAGCAGCAGAAGCCCCCAATTTTGTCTTCAGGCTCCCTCAGCAACTGGAGCCCATGGTGAGAGACCAAATCTTGTGAGAAAAATCACCAGCTCTCCTGCTCTGATTTTTCTCCCATGCCATGTGAGGTGGCCCATCACCATGTGGGCTTCCTGACCTACCCATGCCTTTGTGGGTGACTGCACTACCCGTGACCACACCTCTACCTGTCATTTCACTGTCAGCGTGGCCAAGTGTCCTGACCCCACCAAATTGTAGTTAGTGACATTGTTCTCCTGGGCTGTCCCTGCACCGTTTCATATGCCAAGAGCCCCTGGAAATCTCTTGTTTTGAGACAGAATCTCACTCTGTAGGGCAGGCAAGCCTGGATCTCACTTTGTGGCCCAGGCTGTCTTCAAACTTACTCTCATCCTCCTTCATCTGTCTCCTAACTGCTGACGTTGCAGCTCTGAGCCATCATTCCTAGCGTCCCTGGAAATCTTTTATTTTGTTCTGTGGTTGTTTCACCTTACTAGTTCATACTGTTCCAAGCCTTAAAGGTGGCCACCATCACACCCACCATGGTTTTGCTTAAATTTTTTTTTTAACTTTTATTTTTATGTGTATGAGTTCTTTTTGTCTATATGTAGGTAAGTACACCTGTGTCATATAATGGCCATGGAGGCCAGAACAGGGCATTAGATCCCCCGGAATTGAAATTACAGAGGGTTGTCAACTGCTGTGTGGGTGCTGGGAACCAAATTTAAGTCCTCTGGGAAAGCAGCCAGTGCTCTTAACAACTGAGCCATCCCTCCATTCCCCATAACTAATTTGTTTGGTATCTAGTCCAGGCTGGCCTTGAGTTTATAATCCCCAGCCTTCCCAAAGGTGCAATTACGAGCCTGTTACCATACCTATCTGTTGTCTTTATGATGTTCTGTATGTAGAACTGTGTCATTTTCTAAGAGTAGTTGCTTAAAGAAGCCAGTGGTGTCTTTTGGTAACTGAACATTTATTTAGTGGCACCAGACAGAGTGCAGCGTCCCAGGCCCACCCCGGTCAACCACAATGCATCTCTCCCTTGTGCCATTATAAGGGCCCAGCTGGTAGGTGGTTTTCATCCTTTTTTTTTTTTTATTGCTGGAGTTTGAACCCAGGGCCTTGATCATAGGAGGGATCTGCTCTACCACTGAGCCACATTTCCAGCCCAGTTTTCCTCTCTCTTAACTTGAAGTATCTGGAACCAGAGAGGTGGCTCAGTGGTTAAGAGCACCAGCTGCTCTTGTAGAGTACTGGGGTTCAGTCCCCAGCACCCACATGGCAGCTAACAACCACCTGTAACTCCAGTTCCCAGGCATATGATGCCCTCTTCTGGCCTCCTTGTGCATTCATACACACGATACGCTTATATACATGCTGGCAAAGCACTCAAAGACATAAAAATAAACAAATTGAAGTATCTTCTGACGCTCTGCTCAGGTTACCCAGAAGGCAATGCCAGCATGGCCCCAACATCCTGTCCTTTCCCCTCCTCTGGCCTGGCCCCAATGCCCTGTCACACTCAAAAGGCCATGTGGCCAGTACTTTGCAGTCTCTGGCACGCTTTGTATGATGAGGATTATTGCATGAGCCAACTGAGAGGCTGCTGGAAGGAGGGAGGTCAGGCTTGCCTCTCTGGGAAACCAGTGGAACCTGTGGTGGGCTGTTCCTTCATTTGTGAGAAGTCAGAAGCTAGTCAGGGGCACAGAGGACCTTCTGTCCACATTGTTGTTTCCTGTGCTCATTAGCTGCTGCCTGGCTTCTCTGTGACAGACAACTACACAGGGCTTGTGCCATCCATCCTGCACACGGCCGAGTGACTGACCCCTTTCTAAAATACTAGGAAGAGGTACATTTGTGTAGAAATACTCATAAGCTGATTTAAGCTCTCTAAGCTGTGTGTGGCACTTCCCTGTCATCCCAGTACTTGGGAGCTGAGGCAAAAGACTTGTGTGGGCTCTGTAGCAAGACCTTACTTCAGAAAAGCAGAAACAGGGGCTGGAGAGATGACTCAGCAGTGAAGAGCACTAACTGCTCTTGCAGAGGACCAAGGTTAGGTTTCTAGAACCCACATGGTGGCTAACAGTCATTGGTAAGTCCAGTTCAAGGGGATCCAATGCCTCTTCTGAAATCTGTGACTATTGTATGACAGGGGTGCACTTACATTCAGGCAATACACTGATACACGTAAAAATTAATATTAAAAAATTTAAAGCAAAAAAGGCTGGGTATGGTAGCCCAGGCCTTTGATCCCAGCACTCTAGCACTCCAGAGGCAGGCAGGCAGGCAGATCTCTCTCAGATCCAGGCCAGCCTGGTCTACATAGCAGGTTCTGTGAAGGCTGGGGCTACAGGCAGACCCTGTCTCAAAAAAAAAAAAAAAAAAAGACAGAGCAAAAACAAACCCTTCCCTCCCAAATACCCAAGCAAATCCACAAACCAGATCTTTTTGAATGTCCTTTAAGGTCTACAGAGATGCCCATCATTGTGGATGACATCATACAGATGCTGTGCCTCATTTCCCAGGAGAGAAGAATGAAGGCAGCCAGGAAGCACTCTGGGAAGGGTGCCCTGGTTACAGTGGCAGTGGCCTTCGTTGGTGGTTTGGTTGCTGGCATACAAGGAGTAGTCGCTGGTGAGTGTGTGTCTCACAGATACAGCCAGCCGAGAGCATGTCATAAGAAGGTTTCTGGAGTCAGGCATGGTTGTGTACACCTTTAATCCCAGCACTTGGGAGGTAGGAGGTGGAGAGTGTGAGGACAGGCTGGGCTGTATATACTTCTTGGCCTTGACATCTGTATCTCTTCACATCTGGGAGACTCATTTCTCCCAGTGCCAGGAATCCCCTAGCCCGCTCTTCCCCTACTGCTGAGTCCTGGAATCTAAAGATATCAAGGTGTCTAGGTCCCTTGGAAGTCCCTGCCCTATGCCACCATCACCATACCACCTGAGAAGGAATGTAGGGTGGAAGCTTGTTTTGCTGAGCTCCATCCATGAACAGATGCTCAGAGTGTGGCTGTTTTACATGGGCTGGCTTGCTCCAGGAGAGGCCCCATCTGAAAACAAAGGATCCAAAAGCGAAAAAGAAAGAAAAGTAAAGCAAAGGTCCAAACAGCAGCCATGCCCAGGGGAGCGACTCTCCCCACAGTGCATATCCTACCTGCATTTTGCCACCTGTTTCTGCTGGCCAGTGTCTGTCACTGAATCAAAGAGTGGCTAATTTCCCCCACTCTTCTCTGAAGCCTCATTTATCCTGACAGCCTGTGTTCTAGGCCTCAGAAGACCTGCCTGGCTCAGGACCACGGCTCAAAGCGTAGGTTAACATGGAGCCCCAGCTGGCCGCCCTCCAGAGGAGTTGAGAAGAGGTCTGAGAAGGACCAAGGAAGGTTCCTGCATATCCACTTATGGAGATAGCCACCCATGGAGCTTGTACCACAGTTAACTGGTGTCCTCACCACAGCTGAGCACCTGCAGTATGAGGCTGGGTGTCTAATTACTGATGGCCATGTGTATGCTGACAACCGATGCTGGAGGCTCAGGGCTCCTAAGAATGCAGTCTGGCTAGAAGCCCTTCCTAGGTGACCACTACTTCACACACACTTTTTTGCCAAGGCTGGAAAGGCTTCCCACTATGTTCTTGCCATCATAGCAGGATTGACATTTGAGAACATTGCAATAAGGCGAAGCTACATTTCAGAGAAACCTCAGCACATGGGTGGCCCAGATCTTCCTCTACTGAGTTCCCCTTTCCAAATTTTGTGAATTCAGGAGTCCTGACCTGGCTGCTTGCTGCTCAGGGAGGGAGGAGATAAACCTATTTCCTGTCAGCAACACCCGAGTCTTCTCCCCATTCCTATTTGAGTGCCTCTGATGGGGACAAATGGGACAGTTTTATGGTACATTTGGGCCCCATTTCCATCTTGGGATCATTTATTTTATTCAGATTGAATAAAGCTGACAGGGAGCAGGGTTTGTAGGGAGATCCTGGGTGACTTGCTGCTTCCAGCCCCTGGTCACTGGGGGGTGCTTCATTTCCCCTGAGAAACACAGAGATTCCTTCTACTGCAAAGACCAAGTGGTGATTTTCGGGTAGATGTCCTGGCAGCTTTTTGCATTAAGTGCTGCACCGAATCAAATATTGATGTTCCCATAAAGGGTTAGTGCACGCGAGACCAGCGTTGACAGCCCAAGTGTTTCACCGGCGTCACAGGGAAACGTTCAGTCAAATTTGTAAATCATCAGGTTCTGCCCCCCAGACCCTTTTGTTTAGACAGTAAATGTGGCTGGCCCTGTCCTGGGATGCAGAGCAGGCATCTGCCCCAGGGACCACCTGCTTGGATTCAGAAAGCATGAGGTTTGCTTTCTGTTTTCTGAGTCTAGCCTACAAATGGGTTCTCCCTGGCCTAGGCTATGTTTATATTTATTTACTTTAATTAATTAAAAAATTTTATGTGTATGAGTGATTTGCTTACATATGTGTAAGTGCACCAAGTACATGCAGTTCCCACAGAGACTAGAAGAGGGCCTTGGATCCCCTGGTACTGAAATTACAGGTGGTTGTTTGCTGCCATGTATGTGCTGCAAACTGAGCCTGGGTCCTCTGCAAGAACAACCAGTTATCTTAACAGCTGAGCCCTCTCCCCAGCCCCATATAATAATTTATTCTTTTTTTTTTTTTTTTTGGTCTTTTTGAGACAGGGTCTCCCTGTAGCCCCACCTGTCCTGGAACTCACTATGTAGACCAGGCTGGCCTTGAACTCTCAGAGATCCACTTGCCTCTGCCTCCCAAGTGCTGGGATTAAAGGCGTGCGCCACCACACCTGGAAATTTATTCATTTTTGAGAGAATGTTTTTCTATGTAGCCCAGCCTGACCTCAAACCTAACTCCCCAGAGCTAGGATTACAGGTTTGCAGCACCATGCCCAGCTAAGGCTGTATTTTCTAAAACACATTTTTGCTCCTCCCTCCCTCCTTCTCCTGTCTCTGTTTCCCAGAATGGACTTCAGACTTAAGATCCTTGTGCCTCAGTCACCAGAGTGCTAGAATTGCAGCTCTGTACCAGTTATTTGCCCAGTGTTAGAATAAACTTCATTTTGGAATAATGTTGGATTTATGTAGACGTTACCAAGGTTGTACAGAGAATTCCCACATGAGCCTCACCCAGTTTCAGTTCAGTGTGACTGTGTCCCGTGATGTGTTTCTGGGAACTAAGAAGCCAGTGCTGATCCGGTCCTGCTGACCAGCTCAGCTCCCAATTCCGGTTTGATCGGACTTTGCCCAGGTGCCTCACTTTGCTCCAAGTCACCACTTTGGTTCTAAGGTCACCGTTTTCCTTAATCTCTTCCCACCTCTGAGAGTTCCTTAGGCCTGGCCCCTTGTCTATCATGACCTCGATATTTTGAGCAAGACTGATGGGTGTTCTGAGGCGTGTCTGATGTGAGTCCTGGGAGGGATTCCCTGGAGAGAAAGTGTGTTCTGCGTTAGTCTTCGGGCATATGACATCTGTATTACTCACTTTTCTGTTGCTGTGATAGAACAGCCACCGTTGAGCTTACAGTTCCAGGGGAATTACAGTCCGTCATGGCAGGGAGGCATGGTGGCTGGAGGTGGCTGGAGCAGGAACAGCAGAAGCTAAGCTCCTACATCTTCTTTGTGGGATGCTTTAAAGATCCGAATCTGGTGTTCTGAATGGCCACAGTTGGCTGGCATGTGGTAGGAGCTGCTCCTTCAGGCAGAGACCCAGCTCTCCAGGACACCACAGATCTCTCTGCCCACTTTGCCCCTTTGGTCACCTACCTGGCTCTCAAAGGTACTTAGGTTGATACCTTTGCCCTAAGGTGCATTCCCTGACCTGGTACCAAACCATACATGGCCTGATGAGGTGTTCCTTTCCAGCCTACAAGGTCTTCAGTTTTCACAGCAGTATACCCAAACTGGCGATAAACGTCATTTAAACACAGTGTGTCTAGCTCAGTGGAGAGAGCTTCTCTAGCACGCCTGAAACCCTGTGCTCAGTACCTACCACTGCCCCCCAAAAGCATAAATCTAAAAATAATGTGCAGAGCTGGATGTAGTGGCACATGCCTGATTCTGGTACCTGGGAGGTTTAGATAGGATGATCAAGAGATCTTGGCTAGCCTGGGCTACATGCCAAGACTCTTTATCCAAAACAGAAGAAAAAGGGAAAGAAGGTAGCAAGAGGGAGACAAAGCTTGTGTCCTTGTTGGGAGGCAGAAAGAGAAAAAGTTATTTGGGATAGATTCATTTCTGATGTCCTACAACTCACAGCAGGTAGAATCAAAACACTCTTCAAAAGAAAAACACTTTTGCTTGCCTTTTCCCATATGAGTGTCCTGGAAATTTTGTAAGTTTGAGGGCAAGTTTCACATCAGTCACTGTATAGAAGCAGCCGGCCTCCCAGTCTCCGTGTGGAGATGGTTTTCCGGGAAAATGTATTTCCCGCTCAGCCTCTCCTCTATGGAGATTTTTCTGGGAGTCCTGGGAGTGGGGTGTTTGTCGGTTGTGACTTGGATCTTAATTGGCACAGGTCTGAGGAGGGGTGTGCTTGGATGTCAGTTATCTGGACCAAATGGACTAAAGACTACCCAGACCGTTGCCCTTTAGGCCGCCTAGCAATAGTGGAGCTTGCTGTGACTGGCTCCCAAATACGCCCATTCATCATGACAGTGACTGCACTCTCGACCTAAAGCCAAGGTATCGGTCGAGGAAGAGGTCGACTTAATTGACTTCTTTCTTTCTTGCTTTCCAGGGTGGATCATCGGGGACCTGCTAGGTACCTGGATGCGGCATAGCCAGTTTAAGCCAGTTCCTCAGATCCTAATGGAGCTGCCCCCTGCCGAAAAACAGAAGCTCTTTAACCAGGCAACTGCCATCACTGGGAATCTGGACTGGGCAGGCACCATGCAGCTGACCGCACTGGTCCTGTTCAATGATGCTCTGCAGCAGAAACTCCTGGACATGTTAGTGACCTACATCACCAGTGAGCTGCAGGCTGAGATCCGCTATGATGACTAGGCTGCTCCATCTAATCACCGTTAGGTGATTCTGTGACTCTCAGGTTACTGGTGAATAGGGGATGCCTGGCAGATTCAGTTGAAAAACTTGCATATTACCAGCACTGACTTTAAGTAGGAGTGGGGCATCCTGCTGGCACATCCTACTGGATAGACTCAAATCATGCTGTGTGGTGGCCCAGCAGTCATTTGAAGCAAGTGTCTTGGGTTGTGTGTGCTGCTGTGTACTGGCAGCCCTTTACTGGGTGCTGACAGAGGCTCAGGCCACAGCAGCTTTGCAAGTTCCCCCATCGTGGGAACTAGAGGAAGTCCCCGTGTTATAATGATGGCAGAGCACACTGGATGCCCTCCCCGATCCCCAACAATGGTGCCTCCATTAGGTACCTGTTGCAGGACTGGCCCCTTTAGGCCCTGGGGTCTTGGGGTTCAGAGCCAGCTCTATGAGAGTGCCCCTTCCCTCTCAGGGTCTTTCCCAATCATCTCATGGAGGCAGTGGTTGGTCGTGAGTGAAGCAACAGATGACAGACAGGATCCCCTCTTCTTCTTTGGTTAAGTTTCTAGGGTCTTCGTCCCCCATGTGGAAAATCATGACAGTTCTTTAGTTTTCACTTTTACTGTCAGCTCTGGTCTCTTTCTGTTCTCTACACATAGGTAGCCTAACTTCATCTCACTTCTGACTGGAGACTTCTCCATATGCCCTATGTTGTAGTCACCTAATGAGGACCAATAATTCTCAAGAAAACCAGATTCTCTTTCAAGCTCCTGAGACCACCTGACAGGCATGCATCTTTTGTCTTACTAAGTATGTGGCTGCAGAGCAGCTAGAATGAGACTTTCACCATGGGGACTTGTGCATACTAGTCCATGTCTTTCCCCAGGTCTATCTCTATAGTGGAGAAGAGGGGCGAGAACACTTCATCTCTCAAGGGCCTAGAGAAGTCCCACCGCCATCCTTGTCCCGCTGCTTGTGGGAAAATTTTAGGCTTCTAAGCTCTCAGATAGACAGAGACACTGGATGTCTACAGGACTCCATTGGCAAAGGGCTGGACCTACTGTTCCTAAAGGAGGCTTATGCTTGGCCATGGGTGAGAGTTGCTGTTTTTACATCAATAATTCAGGTGTCATTAGGGAAACCCTTGTCCTGGTTAAACAAAACTTAAAAAGAGTGAGAAAGGGAAAGACAGGCATCCTCCAATTGGTACCAGTCATTATTCTCCTGGTCCCCATGGCTCACCAACCTGATAACTGGCCACTGGGCCTCTGGGGATACTCCTCCTAGCCTTTACGGTGGGCCAATGCCTCTTAAATTATCTAACCAGATCTATAAGGAGGTGCTTAAATGCTGTCAAAATTTTGGCCCTAAGAACACAATACCAGCCGATAAATCAGTGCAAGTTAACCATTTGACTCATTCCCCAGAGTCGCTGGCGAATGTGATAGCCTGAGTTCCTCCATTTTGTATAAAGTTGCCATTTTTAATGAACTCCCTGACAGGCAGTTCCAGGAAAGATTAACCATAGAAAAACCCCAAACCAGAAATGTCTCAGTTAATGTTTTACAGCTTTTGTAACCACTTGCCTAAGGCTAATTTGACTTCTGTAAATCGCTTGCTTGCCTACCCACAGGAACAAACACATTGTTCTTGTACAATCTTTTACAATCACCTGGTCCATCAGGATGCGGTTTTTGCCTTTAAATGATTTACTTTCCTCTGAGTCTGGTCTGTACCCTTTAACTCCTGACCCAGAGAGTGCAGTCCCTGGAAAGCTAAATAAAATTCAGCTAGTTCAGAACATCTGGAGTCTGAGTGGTCCTTCCTAGTGGTCTCTGCATCGTAACAATGATCCTCCTGCTGTAGTCTCTTGGGCATAGAGATTATAGGCATGCATTGCCACATTAAGTTCAATAAATAGATTTTTTTAATGTTATTTTTGTTTTGTTTTTTGAGAGCAGGTCTCATGTAGTCCAGGTTGGCCTCCAACTTCCTATGTAGCCAGAGATGACCTTGAACCTCTGCTCCTCCTGTCTGTACCTCCCAAGGACTGGGATCACAGAGGTGTACTGCTATGCCAGGCTTCAGGAAATATTTTTTACATCACTGTTTTAGAAACACTTCCTCTAGACCTTCTCCAGGAAGTAAACATCCTCCTTCTCTGTGTAGCAAAGGAGACCGAAAGTCAAGTTTCCAGGCTCTTAAGCTGCTGGGCTGGGAAGTGAAGAAGCCAGGATCTGGACGCTGTCTCTGGAACCTGAGCCCTCACTAGATACTGTGCAGGTGTTTCCCAGTTTTCAGGAAAATGGAGCGTTTTTTTGTTTTGTTTTGTTTTGTTTTTAAAGTTGTCTCCCTATGGACCCCCAGCTGGCCTGGAACTCACTGTGTAGACCAGACTGGCCTTGAACTTACAGAGCTCCTCTGTCCTCAGCCTCCTGCGTGCTGGGATTAAAGTGCCACCATACCAGGCCACACAACCTGGTAGCTTTGACCTATGTTTTCCAAATGAAAGATTTTTGGTAATAGGTGTACTGTCTCTAAATGGAGATTCCCCAAACGCAGACAAGCACTGTTTCCACCCTAAGAACAGCCCCACCCAAGCACCCAGTGCTGTGTACTACAATGTGTGTCATCAAATACAATGATTTTTTGCTCTGAAAAGTTATTTTTCCATGTATTTTGTGGTAATCACTTTTGCTATTTGAAGCTTATATGAGGAACAAAAAGGCAGGTTTCAGAGCTGGAGAGATGGCTCAGTGGGTAGGAGCACTGACTGCTCTTGCAGAGGACCTGGGTTCAATTCCCAGCACCCACAGGATGGCTAACAACTGTCCTTAACTCCAGTTCTATGGGATCGAACACATTCTTCTGGCCTCTATGGGCACTGCCATGTGTAGGTGCATATACACGCAGGCAAAACACTTCTTCAATAAAAATTTAAAGATTTAAAAAAAAATGTTTAAGAAAAGGAAAGCTGCTAGGTTTGGTCTTTAGGGGGAAGGTGAACGCTCCCGTGCTCTAGCTTTGGCCCTGTGCTGCCAGCTGCTCATCCTGCCCCAGCCTCCTCCAGCCCTGGGTGCCCAGACTCGGGACAGGCAGGGATGGACCTGCTGTAGGGTCAGAGGAGGAGCTGGGCTGAGGGCCAGTCAAGTGAGCTCAGCACCCTTGCAGGGCAGGCACCTCCATGCAGGAAGAAGGCTCCACGTGGGATTCTCCCCCCCCCCCCCCCCCCCCCGTGGGGACAGGCAGGAGGAGACTTTGTATCAGAGCTCTTCTCAGCTGACACTTGTCAGGTGTCCTGGCGCAGGTGACACTCTGGGAACTGACGAAGTCACTGGTCATTTCAGCCCTGCTTAGTTGAGTGGATGGGGACCAGGCAGGGCTGGGGTGCTGTCTCTGAAGACTATAGTGCTTCTGGTTGAACCAGCCCTTTCTGTTCTTTTTGCTAAACAGTCAGTGCCCCTTAAGCTGTCCCCTAGTTTCTGTAGCTTTATTGGGCTCCAAAGTTGCCCTCTTTTAATGTAAAGGGGAAAATATTTTTTTTAGTGTTTTTATTTTTATTTTATATGTATGAGTGTGTTGCCTGCATGTAGGTAAGTCTACCCATGTCGTGCCATGCCCGAACACACTGGACCAGACCTTGCTATCTCCTGCTGTCTTTTTCTCCAATCTCCCAGGTCAACTAGAGCCAAATGTTCTAAGTTCACAATAGAAATGCTGGAAGGGAAGAAGAGGGGGCAGGCCCAGACAGAGCTAGAAGCTTCTGGGCAAAAGCAAGAGGAAATTTTAATCCTTGGAGTGTCACCTTGGGGATTCTGGCAGGTGTCTGACCCCCACCCCCAATGACATCTTTCCTGGCTCCCAAGTTGGCAGGGAGCCTAGCCTGGCCCCCAAGCCAGTCATCTGACTGCCCTGAAGTTTCCCAGGAGCGATGCTCACTCTGTGTAGCCATGCCAACACATGGCTCCTAGCTATCCACTGTAGTACCCACTATGGAAACCCAGGGGTCTGAGACTGTGCCATATGTATACATGGAAACCAAGTGGCCTACAGCTCGCCAACACCCTGAACCTTGCAACCCAATCCTCTTGCCCCCTCCCGCCCCGGAAGCAAAGCCTTTCAACTTTTACAGCTCTAACCCCATCAGCTACTCACCAGCCTGATGGAATTCCTGAGTCCCCTAAGCTACTTCAGGGAGAGCAAGAGTGGAAGTGAGACACACAGCTGGAGGGGGGCTCTCAGGGTGCCATAGGGAAGGTAACTGTGCAGGCAGCCTGTTCTACACCAGCCCTGGCCTCCTGACAAGACATGGGGGAGGGGCATCGGGGGGAGGTGAAAGTCTGCAGGTTACCACATGGGACATGACCCCAGTTCTGCATTTGTGTTCTTACCTGGAAACTCCCTACTCACAGCCACTGCCCATCTCTGCTGGGAGGAGCCCCCACTTCATCCCCTCACCCTCCCACCCACATCTTGGTTCTAGATTCAGGCCCACACAGGCCTTGGCAAGCACAGAAGTCCTCCCAGCAGGTGTCTCAGGAATTCCAGGAAAAGGAATTGAGCTGAGGGATCTGGGGTCCAGATTTGCCCCTAGAATGAAGGTGTTGACGTCAGGGGAGCACTGTGCCGGATGGTGTTCACAGAGAAATCCAGTCAACAGTAAAGAGCCCAAGACAGAAAATAGCATCTGATAGCACCTGGACACAGTGGTCAGACTCTAGTCAAGTCCCACACAAGCCACAGTCTCTGCACCTCCAGAAAGCAACACAGTTCAGACACAAACCTGACCTGAGGGAACAAAGCCTCGCCCCAGCCCCCTTAGAAGAACAATGGTACAGGAAGCCTGGTGTCTTGGAGGAGTCGCTGTGTCAAGGCAGCCTGTGTCCTGTGCATTCCAGGAAGCTGTGCACATTTGACCCCCATAAAGACCGGGGAGCAGGAGGGAAAAAGCTGTGTCCTAAAAAGTCTCACAAAGTTATCAGGGGCCAGACACGGGCCAGAGAGGGGTCCCTCCCTCCTCCACCCATTTTCCCTTCTCCCTCCCTTCCTACTAAGGTTTGCCTCTGCTAACCAGCATTTTAGCACTGAGCCCTAACCCAGGCTTCCTCCCTCCTTTCCTCCTTCTCTTCCTCCCTCCCCTCCTTTCTTCTGCTCCTCCTCCCGCTCCTCTTCCTCTTCCTCTTCCTCCTCCTCTTCTTTCTTTTATGAAACTGGATCTTGCTAAACTGCTCAGAGTGTCCTGAATCACACTATAGAGTCCAGCAGCCATGGAACCTGTGATCTTCCTGCCTCAACCTTCTAAGTGGCTGAAATTAAGTTTTTGTATCACCATAACTGGTTTAAAACTGTTTTTTGTTTTTTGTTCTTTCTGCAGGGCTGGAGATGGAACCTAGAGCCTTACACATGCTAGGCACTGCCCACTGAGCTACACCCCCAGGCCTTTATTGACTTCATTTTCAGATAGGGTCTCACTAAGTTGCCCAGAATGGCCTTGAAGTCACTCTGTAACCCAGGCAGGTCTTGCGATCCTCCTACCTCAATCTCCCAAGGATCCTGGGTTAGAGGCATAAACCATCAGGCCTGGCTTCTCCCCTCCCCCGTTTCTTGTTTAACTATGGTATAACCTCTAATAAATACATCTTTTAAAAAAAGATTTATTTGTGTGTGTATGCACATGCATGCCCACTCATATTTGTGTGTGTGTGTGTGTGTGTGTGTGTGTGTGTGTGTGTGGTGAATGCAGGTGCCTTTGGAGTCCAGAAGAGCTCGTTGGATCATCTACAGCTCCAGTTTCAGGAGGTTCTGAGCTGCCTGACATAGGCTGGGAACAGAACTTTGGTTCTCTGCACTCACAGTATGTGATCCTAACCCCTGAGCCATCTCCTCAGTCCCAAGCATATGCATGTTAAATCTACATCTCAGTGAGATTTTGCACACACACACACAAACATACACATACATGCATGCACACCTACACATGAACACACACATAAACATACACACAGCCACACACATGTCCACATAACGCACAAGCACATACATGCACACATATACACATGCATGCATGCATGCACGCACACACACATATACACATGTGTGCTGACATGCACACATGCACCTATATGCTCACACATGCATACATACACACTCTTATACTCCCTACACTCATACATGCATGTACACATGAATGCATATGCACATGCATATACGCTCACACATGCATAAATACACATGAACACACCTACACACCTGCATATATACACATTCACAAAGACATATACGTCCATGTAAGCACACAACACACGCACACATATACATAAATATACCATACATAATCACATATATACACATATATACACAATACACATGCACACATACATATGCATGCATACACTGATACACACAGAGACCCAGGGGGCTGGAGAGATGGCTCAGGGATTAAGAGCACTGACTGCATTTGCAGAGGACCCAGGTTCGATTCCCAGCACCACATGGTGGCTAACAACTGTCCGTAACCCAAGTTCAAGGAATAGGGCATCTACTTCTGACGTCAGGGGGCATTGCAGGACATAGGTGCACTTACACACATGCAGGCAATACACTCATAGACACAAATTAAAAAAAAAAAAACAGAAAAGTTGGGGAACTGGAGAGATAGCTCAGGAGTTAAGAGCACTGGGTGCTCTTGCAGAGGACCTAGATTTGATTACCAGAACCCATGTGGCAGCCAAGAACCATCTATAAATCCAGTTCCAGGGGATTTAATGCCTTCTTCTGGTCTCTGCAGGTATTGCACACATTGC